GGCGAACCGTTCGGGACATCACTACTAGCCATCACTAGTTGGTTCTTGTCAAAGTCACTCAGATCTTTCAGCGTGCCCATTTTTCCTAATTTTAATGACATCAAATTCAAGAACTCTCTGTTCCTTTGCTGCCTAATATATCCCACCCCTTGACAGGTGCCATTGTCACGATATAATCAATGTTTTTCACTTCACCTGTCAGTGTTTTTAATGTTGCGTCTGATCACTGTATGTGCTTATTTTAACTGATAGATCAAGTTTTCAAAGCCCGCTCTCCACAATTGGTGATGTCATACATGCATTATTTTCCATTCACAGATTGCTGACAAGATGCATTGTAGGGTCACTAATCTTACGTGATGGCTCATTTATGCATGTCCTGGTATGCCAAAGATTTATAGGCATTAGGAGGACACTTAAATTGTTGAAAATGTGCTGAATAAACAAAAAGGTAAGAATATGGCTACGTAGCTCCTCTGGCAGCATTTCATATGTCAGGAGAGGAGCTGAATTAATGGTGGAAGATGCTACCCAGGAGGAAGCTCCTAACAGTTTAGAGCAGAGGTACCTTTACTCTAAATAATCATGTATGAGCTGTGATTGTGAGGCTCCCACACAAACATCCTGAGCACACTGCCTGGCACCAAGAATGTTGGTGCTCTATAAACGTGACTGCCACACCAACGGGCCCCCAAATATGCAAGGGGCACATTGCCGCGAACAAAGAACCCTGGGAGAAATCTATTTATAAAATATTGTGATGGAATTTCGGTGAAATGTAAATTTAGTAGGCCGAGATTTCCACATGGCATGTATGTATGTTGTTGGCATGTATGTATGTTGTGTATGTTGTATCAGTTAGTTAGTTACACGTAGCTAAGATACTGTCATCAATGTACTGAGCATGTGCAGGAATGCAGGAACTGAAATCACATTCCTTTCTCCTTTGTTTCGGATGAGCCATGTGGTCTGCCCGTATAAAGAAATCCAAATCCTGTCCACCGATTGGTTAAGGGTATGTGTGGGTGGAGCTATTAATGGGAGCAGTTATAGTTCTACAAAAAGCATGTACTCCATGTGTTCGGCCCTCAGATCGGTTTTGGAATGTTAGTTCATCTGAGACCCGATTGGTATGTTAATAAAGACCTCTTACTTCCTGAAAACCTGCATCCATCTCTCTGTGTCTGGCTTCTGCAAGTTTACTTGGTTACATCTTTGGTGCATTGGGTCCGGAAACCACATCGCACGGAAACTGGCACAGAGATTTGAGACGGTAAACTTTTTACCAACGTTCTCTACGGCAGCACCCCTGAACTTCTGCGTGGACATCCCTTCATCTCGGCGCCACTGGGCTGCTTCGCCCAGGAGATCATCGGCCTTTAGGTAGTAAGTACCGGGGTGCCCCGTCGATGAGTGTGAGCCCAGGTTCAGGAACGAAGAGGTAAGACTGATACTGTTAGAGCGGTAGGCCCACAAGGGGTTTTATATTTGGAACCGGTTATTGGATTGCCCCCTCCCTCTGGAGGGAATAAGTGAAGGCGCACCGCTTATCTGGAAATAAGACGCTCTGTAGTCAGCCTGTCTAATATAGGTGGTCAGGCTAAATCTTGGTGTAAATAGTTTATGCTGGACAACGGTGTCCTGTCTTGACTAGCGTGTCTAGATATAAATTTCAGTCGCTAGGTCGGGGAGGCCGGCGAGACTAAGCAGATTCTGGTGTACATTCCGTCTGCTAGTTCTCAACCTATCTTGGCTAAGTGTGCCCTGTTGTAAATTCAGCCACTAGACTATTGATAGAGTAGATAGACTAAATGGGTACTGTTGTAAATTCTGCCCACTAGTACGCTATATGTGGTGCTTGGGCAGCGTAGACTAACCGAATCCTGGTGTAAATAGTTCGATAGTTCTCAAGGTGCTGGCCAATTAGAATAGTTGGGATTATTGTAAATGTTGTTAAATATACTGTAGTTGGTGAATTGGTGAATTGTATGTCCTGCTAGAAAGCTTGAGCTCTGCCGTCTAGTGCGAGTGTAAATTGTGTGTATACTGTATAATAGCGCACGGTATTATAACCATTAACATGTACTGTACCTACTGACGTTGTGTAAAAATTACTAAAAACTGTTGTCTTATGTTATATGTGTAACACCATAACTGTTACTAACTGATCTGTGACTTTAAAACTGTATTATAACCACTTGCTAACCGTACCATAAGAATGTAATATAGTCGGTTAGTTAAAAGTTGATTTATAATGTGGATAATTGTAGGGTTATATTTATAGTTACAGAGATAAGTATCTAGTGTTTGGTAAATCTTTGTGAGTGAGACGTCGTGATATCACTGTATGTACGAGAATTCTCTGTTTTTTTTTGTGTGTGTGTGTTTGGCCTAGCAACTGTGCCACGTGGTGCTGTTGCCTGGGAAACAAGTGTGATCGTTGGAAGTGTGTTTTTGGGTATTGTGTTTCTTTGTATTAGACGCTCCGTTGCCAGTATGGGTGCATCTGACTCAAAGATTGTTGATCCCTTGTCGTGTATGTTGAACAACTTTGCAAAGGGATATAAAGTTTGTGATTTTGGGGTGAAATTATCCCCAAAACGTTTGACTACATTATGTAGCAGAGAGTGGCCTATCTTGGTGACCGCATGGCCTCCACGTGGTAGTCTTGATCTAACTCGTAAAGAACGTAAAATGAGGAAGAAGGCAGATATGCTAGCAGTAGCTATAACAAGTGTAGAAAGACAGGGAAGGGAGGTGAATAAAGGAGTCGAGAATAGGCTGAGTAAGGGACCTTTAAGTAGTAATCAATCTGCGTATTGTAGAGAGGAAGGACATTGGAAGAATGAGTGTCCAAAGAGAGCATTATGAAAATAATAGACAAGGAGAGAGAAGAGTACGGGGAGGTTATAGTGGTAGTTATAGAGGAAGAGGAAGTTTTGGAGGGAACGGTGGGAATAGTAGAGGGAGTGTTCAAGGAGATAGATATTATCCACCTACTCAGAGACCAAGAGATAGAGAGGATAGAGATTTTGTGGGTCTGGCTGACACTATCATGGAAGACTATTGATACCGACCGGGCTCCATCCCCCTTGGCCGAGCGGAGCCTATGGTCGATGTAGCAATAGGGGGAAAGAGAAGTTCTTTCATGATTGACACTGGTGCTGAACATTCCATGGTGACTAAACTGGTGGCTACGCCTTCAGGAAAAACGGGGAGAAGCGCAGCTAGACCGGTTCTTAAAAGTCGCACTTGCATTCTGAGAGGCCATTTGGTGAAGCACCAGTTCCTATATATGCCAGAGTGTCGGATTCAACTTTTAGGACGAGATCTATTATCGAAGCTTCAAGCCCAGATAACTTTTCTACCCAATGGATCAACGTCTCTGAGGTTTAATGGATTACCAGGCATAATGGCGGTAACGGTGCCAAGGGAAGAACAATGGCGCTTCTACTCCATAATGACAAGTGTAAACCCTAAGAGTGATGAACCTTTATTTGACATTCCAGGAGTATGGGCAGAGGATAATCCACCTGGGCTTGCTCGTAATATTCCACCTATACATATTGAACTAAAGCTTGGGGCCTATCCTGTGAGCCTACGTCAGTATCATATACTTCAAAAGCATGGGCGTCCGCAGGGGTGGGCAAGAGGGAGCACTTGCCCCCCCCCCCCTGGATTTTTCAGCTTGTGCTGCTATTTTTGGTTTGTGTGAGAATACACTGCAATCCCGGCGCCGGACAGTAGGTGGTGCTGTGAATGTTAAAATGCAGGA